CACTACATTACTAACTAATTTAACATCCATGAAGTACTATGATTATAACAGTGACTGAAATTCTTATAGAGTGTCTGAATTGATTCACACATGCATGCACACAAACACTAAGAGAGATATATGTATAGAGATAAATGTATATAGGAATATATGTACAAAGGTATATATGTATGTAAGAGAAATAAATGTATAAAGATATATGTATAAAGCAATAAATGTGTATATATGTATAAAGAAACAGATATATAAAGGTATATATGTGTAAAGGTAGGTATACCTAATAGAAAAATTTCCCTCGAGTTCTGTGAAATACTCACTTCTAATGCCTTGGCATCTCTCAGCGGGTGAGGGTTGAGTCTTGAGGAGTGAAGTATTTTTGGCACAGGCTTCGTTGTCTGCTTTCAGCAACAATCCTCCGAACTTCGCACACTTGAGAGTTGCGAGCTCTGAGAGGCGTCCTGCTCAGAGCAAGATGCTGGTCACAGCCCGTGGCAATCCAGGAGAGCTCAAAGGGTCTCGCTTTAGGACTGCTGTTTATAGGTTCACAAGATGATTGTCTTCAGTCATTACTAAATTTCCATTCTGGCCACAATCCGAGTTGGTAATTACTGAAACTCTCAAAATTCCCCCAAAAAAGAGCACTGATACCGTGTTTCTCTGCAATTCAGAGAAGGGATGTACCGATGCCTGCTTTTCTCAGGCCTCCAAGGCCTGTTTTGTCAAGTTTCTATTCAGATAAGAGATGTTCCGAGGCCTGTTTTGTCGAGTTCCCATCCTTGGCCAGGTTGACAGATGTTGCTGGTACAATCAGTATTTTTCCATCCTTAGCTATGAGAGAGTTTCAGGGACAATCAAGGGGTGCTTAACTGCCCAACTCGTGACACAAAGGCTAAGGCATGAATTTCTGAAATCGTAGTGAGGCCCAGGAAAGGGAGGGGGAATGTACCACCACAACCTGTATCTGCAAAAAACTGATACATTTCATTATAAATTGAATATGTTTTAATCTTGCTTTAGATGTCTTCCATTAAACCATTGATTCAAGTTATGTAATGAGAGAATGTCCCTGAATTTGATAGTACTATATTTTTTTAGTAGTTCTTTTTACAGTATTAGGAATTAAAAAATAAAAATATCACATGGTTCAAACAGCATTCATCCTTCTTGGTTATATTAAATTTTACGTATATTAAATTAAATATACAGAGAAAATTTCTGCACATCCTGGTCCATTTTCTCTTTTTGAGTAAATAGAGTGGAAATTTTTCATGAATTAATTTTAAAAATGTTATTTCTTCTCTCTGGTTGCCTATTGTGAATAGAGTTGAAACAGAATATTTGATATTGTATAATATTCTAGCAAAGTTCATTTTTTATCTTAATAAAATTGGTATATTTACAGTCATCATTATTCTAAAGGAGTAGTTCAATCTGTAGAACACAGGAGAATAACATAAAACAAATGAAGACTTCAGATAATATATGAAATCCTAACGTTTTAATTTGGAAAGACTACTGGGATCTTCTTGCTAGGTCCTCTCTTTTCACATCAAAAGAGACAAGGAGAAAAAGGGGAGGTATAGTATTATGGTAAAAATGGAAGCATTATCATTTCCTAATCTAATTTTAAAAGTTGAAGCACCTCTAAGTTATGCCCACAGTTGTATCTTTCTTCCTCCTTAACCCATTTATTAGTCAATTATTTTCCAGTGAAATAATTCTGAAAATTCCTTTTGTAATCCAAATTCAGTATTAGGTCAATACTAGCTTTTGGATTGGTATTTTTAAGCCTTAATAATACAGCTGTACTTTGACCTAGAAACCTACTTTGATTTGATAGTTGTAACACCTATTTTTCTAACATCTGTCTGCAGTTTGTTTTACATGCAAATATTTACTTACAATTGAAATATTACTATTATGTAAACAATATAAAGACTTGGAAGAAACATTTGAAAACATTTTACAAGGACCAGTGGAAAGTCATTATTGGAGGAAGCTATTACACCGGTCTCTTCCTAGTAGAAGATTGTACAGTATGTAGCTGTCTTGTGACTAGCAGAAGATCTTTCATTGAGCTCTTGAGAAACCGTGCATTCAAAAAGACTTACGTTGCTATTTGCAAATCACAGTTCATAGGCTTTCTCTCATAAGTTGTCAAAAGGTTTTCATTCTCTGAGGAGTCAACGAAGTTGTTCCTAGTTAATTATTCTGAAGTAACCCCTTTGGGCTGTCCTTTTAATTGTTTTCCGGGTGCCATAAACTGCAGATTTCAGCAAGAAATAAATTTAGATACAGCACAGTAGGAAGTTTTAAAAGCCAGCAACTTCTACAAAGGATTGTCAAGAACAATCTGCAAGGAGACTAGTTTTGGCATATAGATTTTGAGCTGAAACAGTACAGGAAAGGAAGCGCTGCTTGCCAGCCCTCACCACCATATGCTTTGTTATAATGTAATGTACAAAGAATATGGAGACAGCAGCTGCTCTAGAGGGAGGTGGCCACTTGTTAGATTTTGAAACCTTTCTGAAATGTCTGTTCATTTTCTTTTCATTGGTATTTTTTCCTCTTGCTTACGTATTTGCATTCAAAAGATGTTCACTAAAAGAAATCTATTTTTAGACCACAGTAAGAAGATGAGAGTGTGATCTACTTTTTGTTGAAACAAAAATAATTTCAGGAGGACTCTAATATTTAGTTTTATATATTGTGAAATGTGGGTAGATTTTTATTTTCCTTAATATCCATTCACATCAGGGCATGATGAAATCGTATGTATAAATTAACTATTGTGTAGGATTCTATGTCGTTGATGGAAAGAAATGTATGTGTTTCATTGGTTTCCAGTGTGTGTTTGCTAGTGGCTAGATCACATTCACATTTAAGTCAATGCCAAGAATCACTAACTTCAGTGGCAGAGAGAACCAAAGCATAAATGAGGATTTAGATCTAAAATAGAAAGAGTTTGATACGATACGCACAGAGAAATGAGTCTTTCCTAGCATCACTACCCAGGCAGTGAGGCTGATTACTCTGTTGCTTTGAGAAATCTGAAGTTCTTAGCATGTTTCAGGAACTGTGTACCTGCAATGTCGTGAAAATGAACCTTGTTTATTTAAACAAAAGTGTATTTTAAAGGGTATTTTTTTGACTCCTGAGATTTTCATATCCACTGAATGTGACAATCCTTCCAGATACATGTAACTACAAGCACTTGGGTTTTAAATTAGGGATTCTTAAGTGAATTTGAGAATCCAGAGGAAAGTTATATCACAGTATAACGAGATTACAGCAGGGCAAGTTTGTAGAGCATGTAATAAAATTAATATATCGTATTAGCATTTTTGCTGAGTGTCAGTGTTTTACATTGACCCTGGAGTAACGTTAAGATGTCATAGCAACACAAACGTGTGACTCATAACTCAGTAAAAATTAGAGTTCATATAGAAGAAAGATGTTACAATTCTTTTTGGAAGGATAAATCTGAGACAGAGATTTTAGATTATTATGTATTACTTAACGTAGATGCTTCTCTCTGAAAAAGAAATTATGTTCATCTATGTGTTACCAGGTGTATATTTTGCTGGTGATAGAAGGATGATTCTTATGGAAAAATCCATGTTTTATTTGCTTACTTCAGTTCTAGACCAGTCTTCTTATCCATCTGACCTTAGTTTTTTAAGCCAGCTACAATTGGTGGTTATCTGGAATACTTACTTACTTATTTACTTAAAGGTCCCCTTTTCCCTTTTTTGTGGCCATACTGGTTGCGAGTATTCAAATCTAAGTAGGATTACTGATTTGCAACTTTAATCATTCCCTATATTACCCCGTATCCCACTGAGGAGCAATGCAGGGAATTCCGTCTACTTAGGAGTCCCATTTCCAAAGTATTTTAAAGTCTGTAGTGAAATTAAACATGGATTCTGAATATAGTCCTGCAGTCATAATTCTGCAAAATGTGAGGCAAAAGTTTAAGTGACATTGAAACTGATGACTTACCATCTTGAGTCAAATCAAAAATCTGTTTTCAGTGCAAATTAAAGTTGTGTAAGGACTTCTTTTGGTTCCCCTAAGTGTGGTTTAGCCCAAGCTTAAGCAACACTTTTCTAATTCTACTGAGTACAAGAAAATCTAAGTTATCAGCAGTCTGTCGTTCACAGATTGGTCACTTTAAGTCAATCTGGAGGCTTGACAACACAGGAACTTTTGGTTTGGGGGGTATTACACCTCCAAGAAAGTTTGTAAATGAAATGTCTGTTTGTTTGTTTATATTTTGAATGGGAAGGTAAAGCCTTCCTTGTCCCTAGAAAGACTGAGAATTGTCAGGAGTTGCAAAATCTTTAGCCTTTACTCCATTTTTTCTAACATATAAAGAATTTATTGTCTGAAGCAGCAGACCAAAGTATGGTAATCCTAGAAACAGCTACTTTTAGATGTAGAACTATTATTTTATATGTTGTTCGAAATACCTTTTTCACTGAGATTTGCTGTTATGATTAGTTGCAGGTTTACTTTTACATAAAAAATGCCTGGTAGAAAACAAAGGACAGATCTTTCTTTAACTCACCATTATAACCATGAAAGTCAGCAAAACAATGTAATTCGAAGCAAGTGAGAAAAGGAAATTCTCTGTTTGCGACAAATGAGAACTAATTATTTTTCAGCCTAAAGAAAATTACTTCATTTTTAATGTTGTATTGCCTTACAGTCACAAACTATTCAACTGCCAATGGCTAATTTAAAAGAAAAGAAATGCAAGAGACCAAGCGTAACCATTTGTCTAGAGAAATTTTCCTCATTGTGAGAATAGCTGCTTCAAGTCTGTTACAGCTCTATGAATTTTTTGCTAGCTTTTAAAAATTGGAAGATGCATGACTGCACAGTTATGAGTTTCAGATCTTAAACTGTGCACTGTAACTTTGTTATTATTTGTTCAGAAGGCATTGTATACTGCTTATCATTAAAGAAATTAAATTCTAATTTTTTCTTCTCTTCAGCCACCAGAAAAAGAGGGTGGCCTGCCTCGTCAGGTAGGCAATAAGACGGAGTGTGGTCTCTTGGGATTTGTCCTGGATTTGAAGCAGGATTATGAGCCTGTTCGGAACCTCATCCCTGAGGAGAAACTCTATAAAGTTTACACGTTCAACTCTGTGAGAAAGTCAATGAGTACTGTCATTAAAATGCCAGATGGTAGTTTCCGAATGTACAGCAAAGGAGCTTCTGAAATTGTTCTGAAGAAGTAAGTTCAATGGATTAGTTGCTGTGTTTTTCCAAAATGCAAAGCATTCTGACACTAATAAGACATATGTGGGAATTTCGGTATTTGGAATTTGCTACTTACAGTAGAAATATGACACATTTTAGTAGTATAAGCTGTTTTTTCTAGGTTTTTTTTTTTCAGGTACTCACTCTTGCAAAACTCTTCAGCTTATTTTTCTTATCATTGGCTAGCCAAAGAATTGGGTCTGCATTCAGTAGTTTACAAATGCGTTATGTTCAACCCATTTGGAAAATGAGGATTTTTCAATTTCATTGTAAGTTGTCAGGTCATTAATTATATGGGTATTGAGGAAACAATGGATGAAGGGCTCTTGGTGTCTCTGTAATAAGTTACAAACAAATTATCTCTGATATTTCAGTAGTGAATCTTCTTGTTTAATCTGGAAATTTACACTAGAAATTTAAAATTTGCCATCAAAAAAGGAAAGTGTTGAATGAAAAGAGCTGATACAAAGAAATACTTTTCAGTAGTCATGCAAATAGACAATCAACTGGGTTTGTTGTGGTTTTTCCCCCCCCTTTTCTTAAACAAAAAAGATGTTCCAGGATCCTTAATGCAGCTGGTGAACCTCGTATCTTCAGACCACGTGACCGAGATGAAATGGTGAAGAAAGTGATTGAACCTATGGCCTGTGATGGACTGAGAACTATCTGTGTTGCTTTCCGAGACTTCAACAGCAGCCCAGAGCCTGACTGGGACAATGAAAATGACATATTATCTGACCTGACTTGCATTTGTGTTGTTGGCATTGAAGACCCAGTAAGGCCAGAGGTATATCAAATTCTTATGTTATAAAGCATTTCTCAGAGAACTGAACATAAATTGATTCTTGCAGTTTGTATCTTTTTCTTTTTAATTAGCTCTGTCAAAGAAGATGGAAGCGAGCTTTAGAAATAGACTTTACTTGATAAAAAAATCAAATAATTAACCTGATAAAAATCAACTATTAATCAACCAATATTTAAATAAAGCAAAACAGGGCTTTTTGAACAACAGGATTGAAATGGCTTAACCTTCTCTCAAGGAGTAGTATGCAGGAGGAGGACTGATCAGCAGAAGTTTTATTATGCTCCCAGATATTAGAGAATTGTCCTTGAAGTAATGCGGTGATGTGCAGCTCTGAAAGTAGAGGAAAGACATGCCATGATTATAACTGCAGTGTGCTCACTTTCCACAGAAATTGCGCGGTCTTGAAGTTTTGTGTTTTACTGTAACAGTTGCCACTTAACTAACTCTCTTAAGATTGTACCTGGTGGCTACTCAGGAAAATTGTTTTTAATGTTGTATTTGGATAAGGAAAAGCTTTGCCATGGAAAGCCTGTGGATTTCATGGATACTATACTTAAATGGCTTGTAAAAATACGACTAAAATTTCAACTCAACTAAACTGAGAAAGTCAGTATTGAGTGTGCACACTGGAAGCATGTGCCTGCTACTACACTTGTAAATTATATTACTACAGTAATACAAAGGGAGATTAAGAGGTAGAAACTTTGTTTCTGACCTATGTATACAATGCATGTATAATTAATCTTGACAGTGGAGAATGAATTCCATTTTACAATTTAGAAACAGTGACAGAAGGTAGGTCCCGAAGTTGAAAGTGCTGAGCATAAAATGCAGGCATTTTTGATATCTTTCTTTGGAGTTTTTCTTGCTGACACAACCATGAGCGCATGGTCACGGCTGCTGTGTAGGCACAGCTGCAGCCGCATGGTGTGATGTGAGAGCACCTGCCCCACCACCTCCTGCAAATGGGGGGAGCTATTAATGCTGGTTTGCTCCAAGAAATCCACTCTTCGCTTCTGTTGTTACTTCAGTACATGATTAATGATTGTGGTTTGCTTTGGAGTAAGGTAATTGCAAGATAACTCGAATTTCTCTTATACAAAAAGAGTGAGTTCTGATGCTGCAAAAAGTAAGTAGTTTGGTACCAATCTTTGTGTTTTTTATTCTTCTGTCTCATTTTACGTTTTTGCTGGATACTTTTTTATCACGTCTGGATCTTTTTTTGGTTCACTGAGAATTGGTGGCAATGCTAGACATGTTAGGAAATTATTTTTTTTTACTAAAACATCAAAAGTATAAATTAATCTGATTTATTTCCCCAAGTCCTTTATAAAGTAGACTTTTACATCCTTCTGTAACTTTGGAAACTAGCACGATACAATTACAACTACAGGTACCAACTGTATAACCATGCTTTGCATGATAATGGCCTTTCTTGGTCTTTTTGTCCATATCAAGAAGGTTATAATATAAAGTAAACCTTGCTTAGGTGAAAACTGTATGATAAACTCCTTATCTCCGCAATCATCGGATAAACAGCATTCACTTTTTCTATCATCAGATGGTCTCTTGCTGCTAATCCATCTGTCCCTACACCTGACATTGCAAGTCTTTAAAAAATGTTTAAAAACATTCTTAAAATGTTCCGGTCTGCAATGATAGCTTAAATGCTCTAGCTCACATATATGAACTCAGAAAGTTTTTAATTGTCAGGGACCACAGGAACTGTGAATCAGTCCTCTTCCCTCCCAAATCGATTCATGATACATGTTGTTAGAAAATAGCTCTAAGTCAGGTTTTGTGTGGTATGACAGACTGAGGGAATGGGTAGCAGTGGGATTTGCAGTTATTATTGAAAATAGCTGCAAACTATCTTTTCATGTGATTAGTATGAGGGTGTTTTATAAGAGAACTGCTCTCATCTCGTAAGGAATAATTTCTTAGGAGCTTGACGTAAAAATGAATAGTGTTGCTAAAAATAAAGAGGTCACATCTGACTTCTACATAAAGGATCAAAGAAGATGAAGGCAGGGAAACATTTTATTTCTAGATAATTATTTGAATGATGTATTGAATTTTTTGTAGTTTAACACCAGAATGTGCAGTAACACTTCTTATTTCATTGCAAGACACGCAATAAAATGTTTATAATTTCAGAACTTTACCAAATGTTGGACAGTTGGTTTTTGGGATGGTTTTTTTGGGGGGTTGTTTTGTTTGTTTGTTTGTTTTCTCATTGTCCCTTTTCACTGTTTTAAAGTGGTAATAACATCATGAGAACCTTTAAAACAATGTTTAAATTATTACTACCCCACACATTGGTAAGAAGCAGTAGCAGTACCCTAGGAGGAAGAAATGAACCAAAAACCCCCAAGCCAGAACAAAACCCACGAATTTCAGAAAAACTGTCTAGGTATGGAATATCTGACTGAGTGGGAATATCGTAATATACCTATATTACAATGGTGAAATCACCATTGTAGATGCAAATAGTAAGATGTTGAGCTGTTATAAGGGACCTTACTATTTTGCCAGAATTAAGCCCACTTATTAAATAGAGTGACCACTGGAGTTTATGAATTTTCAGAGTACTTCTGTACGGAAAAAAGAACATAAAAAATTAGAAATACTACTACAACTGCTGTTTTATGAATATTCTCAGTATTCATGGCGATCAGAATTTATTCTGACAGAAACGATAGATTAGGTGATTTCAATGAAACAATCCAATGTCACCATCCTGGCAGCCTTTAGTTTCCCTTAAATTACATTTCCATTTTTCCTGGGGAAGGCTTATTTTTTTCTTTTTCCTAAGATGATTGTTGGCGTTAACACATGCAAAATAGTAGCCTCCTTTTTTCCACAGAGCTCCTGTGGCACATTGCTCATATGCATCCTTGGAGTGTTTAAATATGTGAATACCTGCAGTGTCAGGGGTGTCATCCTAGCATGGTTTCAGAGAAGAGAGTGCTGCATCTGTTCTGACGATACTGCTGGGAGTTTTCTTGCACTTGCATTTCCTTCTGTACATTAAAAGAAACTATTTGGATGAGTTACTCAACAATGATATCCAGCAACTGACCAGCTTTGTCTGGAGTGTAACCACTGGACACCCATGACTTTTGCATAATTCCTAGGTTAATTGAGACGCTAGCTTATTCATTATCAGCAGCTGTTTTTACCAAGCACTGAACTACCTGCTTGATATTTCTCTTTTTGTCTGTGTGTGGCTTTTTTTCCTTTGATAAACATATAAGAAGAGAACAAATAGAATGATGTCTTGGTTCCTGTGGAGATTTCTCTGTTGATTTTGGCAACCTTTCTGGATTGATTTTAATGAGTCTGTACTGGCTTATACTGATTTGCCAATGTACGCCTACAATCTGTTATTTCTGAGATATGAACATAAATCACTTCCAAATGTCACCTATTTATTTGTCACCTGATTCTGTTAGATATTCCTGCATTGAATAATTTATGCATGCATGCATGCATTAGAAGGTTTTCTTTGCAGAGAGCAAATAAACCAGAAAATTTTTAAGTGTGTACTTAAGCTCTGCAAAACTGATGGAAAATATCTGCTTCCACTGCCCACTCAGTCTGCCAACACT